AGGACGACGAGACGAAGAGATCGCCGTCGAGATCGCCGCCGCACGCCGCCGCACGCGCCCACACGCGCCGTCGGAAGGTCCCAGTTGCTGAAGTTCAATCGCGCGCGTGAGAGCGTGTGGAAGGTCCTTTTTCTGACCGGTCAACGCCGTTGACTTCGCCGTGACGTCAACTTTCTGGATTGGTCAAGTTTGTTCGATTCCGAGAAGATTTGATTTGCGGTCAACTGTTCGGGCCAGCCAGATCTACATAAATTTTAAGCAGTAAGTTTTCTTCATCAAACCTTTAGATCCGCTGCGCATAGGTTTATGTTGAATGTTTGTCCGTGATTTGTGCATATCGAGATCCTCGTGGGTTCCAACACGTTCGCCACCGTCGACAACCGCCGGAATCGCCTACCGCCGCTGGAAGTCAGCCGAGCCCTGCCGATCGCAACCGCGAGTCATCAGACGCAGTCGCGCACCAGCCAGGCCCGACGCCGTCTCCCAGCAGCGTCCTTGAGCGACGCCAGTGAGGTCCCCGGGTCACCTGCTCGTTGTCGATCGCCCGCGCATCTCGCCAGTCGCCGTCCACGCATCCCCAGCGCGCAAGGAGTACGCGCGCAGCGTCCCGCGAATGCCCAGGAGACTTGCAGCGCACGCCGCGTGGCCCCAGACACCAGCGCCCAGTCCGCCTCGGCATAGGAGTGCTGCCCCGCGTGCAAGCACATGCTCAACGCCTGACGCGCCCTGCCAGTGATTCGCACGTCACGCCAGCAGTCCGCGTACGCTGCCCACACGTTGTCCGCACCCAACGCGCACGATCGTCCGCTGCAACCCGATGCCGAGACCAATCCACCGTGCGACCGAGGACCGTTTGACGTGTCGATTAGAATCGACTAACGGCCAAACCTATCCGCCAATTAGGTTGTGGTGTTCAGATGAACTTCATCAACGGTACTCTACATCGTCTCAGAGTCGGCAAAAATTTTAAAAGGTAAACGTCCATATCCTAACTATAGATTCCGCTGCGTTAGGATTTATTTCGATAAAGTTCAATACTGTACATGCTGTTTGACATTCCTAACAGAACCCAACAACTGGTATCAGAGCCCAGGCTTAATGCAAACTCGTGCACAGTTTGAATTTTGGACTTTGCCTGTCTACATGAATTATGTGCGTACGGACGCCGAAGCATAGTAGATTAGAAATTGCAATAAGTTTTTGCAGGTGTTTCGAATCCGACTATTGTGGCCCGTATGTATGGATTTTAATTCATGTTGAATGTATGTTATTTTTAAAGCCTTGGACATGTCAAGGAATTTTTGGGTCGGTGAATGCTTGTAATAAATTATTCGCGCGGTGGGACACCGCATAGTTTATTGCTTTCATAGAAACTCATGTATGGCTCCTGCATGGGTCATAGGATGAATTATGTAATTGTTGTTTATATTATTCGTTATTGATCCGGCGGGCGTGGACCAACCTTGACGGGTCGAGGCGATAAACACGTACACGGATGCCATGGGGATGATCCAATGTCGACTTTCTCGGAGACGACCAATTCAGTGGGACTCACTGCGAAAGGGGAGTTCCAATACCTGAAACGGAGGACACACTCAACAAGGACAAGACTGTGTTTTCTCCGTAACATTGGAGATTGATTAATGGCCATGATAGTTGGATTATAGTTCTTAGTTTATTATTGCTCATTAATCATGCATGTTTTACGTGATTGATTTGTGCAAATACAAACATGTTTTAGAAATCCCATAAAATAAAAATTATATTAAGTGTGTAATGGGTTGAAATAAATTACATCCAAGGCCTCCATTATAGGTTTGTCAGTGAAGTGATTTAATTCCAGCCCAAAGGACATTTTATTTCACAGTTCACAAGGACGAATCTCCTTTGGGATGGTTATAGTGAGCTATTTCAAAAGCGTACGGGTCACCCAAAGGTGGACGTATAATTTTGGTAGTAAACTTAGTACCAATTAATGGGTTACGCTTAAAGTGCAAATAATTATGATAGTCCCAAGGACAAGGTCGTTTTTATTCTTTTATAAAGTTAATTGCACTGGCCAAAAGATAAAACCGACTATTAGTTAAGTATTGCTCGGCAGTATGTTAAGCTAATGGGATTTATCCCTCCTCTTGCGAATGTTTGAACCGTAGACATCCACACCCAGTGGTCTGCGGGGATTTGGTGTTTTGAGGTGTTGGTGAATTTATTTGAATATTGTTAAATAGGATCTATATTTGATGTATAAATTCAAAACTACTTGACTGAGTAAAGACTATGTTTGCATGATCCCAGGAATTCAAAATGTCTTTCAATCCGTTGTCCGTAATTCTCAAAGAAAACAAACTTGTTGGTCCCAATTATATTGACTGGAAAAGGAACTTGGATATAGTGTTAACTGCTGAAGGGTACAAATTTGCTACTGTTGAGGCTTGTCTGGCTGTGCCTGCTGACAATGCACCAGACCAAGAGAAAGAGGAGTATGCTTAGTGGAAAAAGGCTGACGAGATGGCGAAGTGTTACATCTTGGCATCTTTGTCAAATGTACTTAAACATCAACATCAGTCTATGAACACTGCAGCAGACATGCTCCTCAATCTCAAGGAGTTATTTGGTCATCAGTTGCGGGCTGCCCGAAAAGAGGCCATGAGGGTTCTGATGAACATGACCATGCACGAGGGCACTCTCGTAAGGGAACATGTTCTTGCTATGATAGCCCAGCTGAATGAGCTGGATGTTCTTGGGGCTTTTATTAACGGGGAAACCCAGGTCGATATAGTGCTCCAGTCTTTGCCGAAGAGCTTCGAACAATTTCGGTTGAATTGCAACATTAATAAGATGTTGATGACTCTTCCGAAACTTGTTGTTGAACTTTAGTCGGTAGAGGGCCTGTTTCGTCAGAAGACCCAAGCTATGGTGGCCCAGCGGGGAGAAGCTTCCACTTCTAAGGCTCCTAAGGGCAAGAAGAGAAAGAAGTATGCAGGAAAGGGCAAGGCGGTCATGAGTGACGCGCAACCTCGACAAAAAGTGAAGAAGCCGAAAGGCAAGTGCTACAATTGTCAGCAGAAAGGACACTGGAAGGCAAACTGCCCTCTTTCCAGGAAACTTGACAAAGGTACTCCTTTTTCTTTAGTCGATGAAACATGTTTAGCGGTGTTATCTACCAGTACCTGGTGTGTAGATACAGCGGCCACTGATCATGTCTGCAATTCATTGCAGGGGTTCCAGGAAACCAAACGACTTAGGAAAGGAGAAGTTACCATCTACTTGGGCGATGCTAGTAGAGCGTCAGCAGTTGCAGTGGGAGACGTCTATTTAGATTTTGGCTTAGATAGGTTTCTAGTTTTGAAAGATTGTCTTTATGTTCCCAGTTTTAGAAAGAATTTGATTTCAGTTTCTAAGTTGGTTATGAATGGTTTTTCCGCTACGTTTGATAATGAAGTTGTTATTCGTTTTGGTAAAAAGTTCATATGTTCTGGTCCATTAGTTGACAATCTATACATTCTAGAATATAAGTCATCTCCACTGCAACAGAAACAATTACTTAATTCATCATCTAATCTGAATAAGAGAAAGGAACCTTCTAAAATGAACGAAACATATCTTTGGCATCTAAGACTTGGTCATATTAACCTTAGGAGAATTCAAAAGTTGGTAGCAGATGGGCCCTCGGGGTCGTTAGAAGTCGAGGCTTTTCCAACTTGTGAGTCTTGCCTGGAAGGTAAGATGACTAAGAGGGTTTTTAGTTCAAAGGGGCATAGAGCCGAAGATGTGTTAGGGCTAGTTCATTCCGATCTATGTGGTCCTATGAGTGTTCAAGCGAGAGGTGGTTTCGAGTACTTCATTACGTTTATCGATGATTACTCGAGATATGGGTATATTTTCCTTCTGCACCGCAAGTCTGAATGATTTGAGAAGTTCTTGGAGTATAAGGCAGTTGTGGAGATGCAGTTAGGAAAAAGTATCAAGTCATTACGATCAGATCGTGGTGGTGAATATCTCTCGAATGAATTTAGGAGCTACTTGACGGACAATGGGATTACGTCCCAGCTGACTGCGCCTGGCACGCCTCAGCAGAATGGCGTAGCAGAACGGAGAAATAGGACTCTTATGGAAATGGTTAGGGCAATGATGAGTTATAGTACATTACCAGATTCGTTTTGGGGATATGCCCTAGAAACAGCGGTATACATTCTGAATAGAGTACCTTCTAAATCGGTACCGTCTACACCATTAGAGTTGTGGTCTGGGCATAAGCCTAGTCTAAGGCATCTCAGGATTTGGGGTAGTCCAGCACATGTGCTGAGAACCGATACTGATAAGTTAGAACCGAGATCAGAAGTAAGGCTGTTTGTGGGATATTCTAAGGAAACGAAAGGTGGTCTATTTTATAGTCCTGAGGACCAGAAAGTAATCGTTAGCACGAATGCTAGGTTCTTGGAAGAAGACTATGTCTTAGATCATAAGCCCAGTAGTAAACATGTTCTTGAGAAGTTAAAGGGAGTGAGTACTTCAATACCGAGTGCGCTAGATGTTACACCACAAAGTACTGCAACACGTATCGCTGATGATGCACCTGAGCAGGTAGTACCTCGTCGTAGTGGAAGGGTTGTCCGACAGCCCGAACGGTTCATTGGTCTGGAAGAGTCTTCTGAGGCGGTCCTGGACGTTCTTGAATCCGACCCATGGACATACAATGAGGCACTCCAAGATCGGGACGCAGAGTCTTGGCAAAAGGTGATGAAATCTGAAATAGAGTCAATGGACACTAATCAGGTCTGGGATCTTGTAGAGCCACCCAGTGGCGTTCGCGCCATTGGATGCAAGTGGGTCTATAAGAGAAAAAGAGGAGCAGATGGGAAGGTTGAGACCTTCAAAGCTAGGCTTGTTGCGAAAGGGTACACTCAGAAAGAAGGGATCGATTATGAGGAAACCTTTTCGCCGGTAGCCATGCTTAAATCCATCAAGATTCTCTTGGCTGTGGCCGCTCATATGGATTATGAGATTTGGCAAATGGATGTTAAAACTGCTTTCCTTAACGGGAATTTTGACGAGGACATCTATATGCAGCAACCAGAAGGATTCATTACAAAGGGCCAAGAGCATCTGGTCTGCAAGCTGAAGAGGTCCATTTATAGGCTGAAGCAGGCTTCGAGGTCTTGGAACATCCATTTTGACGAGGTTGTCCAACGTATGGATTTACCCAATGTCCGGATGAGCACTGTGTGTACAAGAAAAGTGATGGAAACGTGGTGGTGTTTCTAGTGCTGTACGTGGATGATATTCTTCTCATTGGAAACAGTGTGAAGATGTTGTCAGACGTAAAGGTATGGTTATCCAAGCAGTTTGATATGAAGGATTTGGGTGAAGTAGGACATGTTCTCGGAATCAAGGTCATTCGCGATCGAGAGAAGAGAAAGTTGTGCCTATCCCAATCCACATACATAGACACTGTCCTAAAGCGTTTCAACATGCAGGATTCCAAGAAAGGGGATTTACCCTTTCGGCACGGTATACCTCTATCTAAGAGGATGTCCCTGAAGACGCCTCAAGAGATAGAGGACATGAAGGCAGTTCCTTATGCATCGGCAGTAGGAAGCCTCATGTATGCTATGTTGTGCACGTGACCTGATATTTGTTATGCCGTGGGCATGGTAGCAAGATATCAGAGTAATCCAGGGCCGGAACATTGGTCTGCGGTAAAGCATATACTCAAGTACCTACGTAGGACTAAGGAGTGCATGTTGATTTACCAGGCAGATGAATTGCTTCCGTTGGGTTACACCGATTTTGACTTCCAGGCAGACCGAGACGAAATTAAGTCAACCTCAGGGTTTGTGTTTACTTTAGGAGGAGGAGCCATAGTATGGAGGAGTGTCAAGCAGAAATGCGTGGCGGACTCAACCATGGAGGCTGAGTATGTAGCAGCCTCAGAGGCAGCGAAAGAAGCTATCTGGCTCAGGAATTTTCTCATCGACCTTGATGTGATACCAAGTTTGCCCGCTGCGATAACAGTGTTCTGTGATAACAGCGGAGCAGTAGCAAATTCGAAGGAGTCACGGAGTCATAAAGCGAGTAAACACATAGAGCGCAAGTACCACCCGATACGAGAATTCGTTGAATGAGGAGAAGTCGTTGTTGCCAAGTAGGGCGACATAGTAGACTATTCTTTGAGAATAAGATTGAAAGAAATTGTGGTTATTTTGTTTAGCCATGAGCTTACAAAGCATAAGTGGGAGAATGTTAGAGGTATGCTGTAAAAGCGATGTTTTGCAGATTCTATCAATTCCATTTTGATCCGGCCATCATGTTTCGGTCAAAGTACATATGTTTGCAGTTTATTTATTTATGTAATACATACTCCATGTCTTATATTGAGGTAGTGTGGTTCGAAGAGTTTCGAACATAAAGATCACCTATTGGTTCCTTATAAGACTAAACTATTCGTTTACAGTCTAGACTGGCAGTGAGACCCCACTTGGAAAAAGACTGTAGTGTATTCTCGATTCAGTTGGTCTTTGACTGAAGGATTACACTAGCACTTATGTTAAGTGTTGAACAGGACCACGGAAGGATAACGATATGAGACTCACTCACCGTTGTTGTAACCTAGACCTTCAGTGATTGATGCGTTCTCTTAAGCTGTAAGATAATATAAAATAGGCATATATTTTTATTTCTTATTTATTTGATTTACCAAGTGATTCCTATTTTAATAGGATGACATACGAGGTATTTTGGTAAGTAAGAATAATTATATGATGTGCTATTATAAATTATTTACAGTCACTATATTCCAGTGCGCTAGATTGATGACCTCCCCGAAATGAGCTCAGGAAGGAACATTATGTTAAACCCTGCAGGTAGACGATTGTCTGACATAATGGTTAAGGTCTGAGTGGTACTAATTTCGGAAATGAATAAGAAGTTGATTAATTACTTTGTCAGTAATTTAATTAATTAACGGACGTTATATCTTAAACATAGGGAGGTAAATCGATCAATCGGATTAATACTATTTAATCATGGAGGCTCGATTTTATTGATAAAATAGTGGCTAAATGGGGAGAGCAATAATATTACTCTAGTGGGATGTTTTATTATTTAAATCCATTAAATAAGAATTAATTTTATTCCATATTAATTAATTAATTAGGAGAACAAAATTCAGACTAGAATCTTCTCTTGGGATTAGGAGACTTGGGAGTCTTCTAGAAGATAGAGATTAGTGGGAAATATATTTCCTACATTATATTATTATTTGGAGTAAAATTAGGTTTCCTAAATTAGGAATTAATTATATTCCATGATCATTAATTTAATTAGGAAAGATATTCCTACAAGGATCTTCTCTAGTGTTAAGAGACGTAGGAGTCTTCTAGAAGATGGAGATTAGTAGGAGATTTTCTTCCTACATTAAATTAGTATTGGAGTAGAATTAGGATTCCTAGGCCTAATGGAATAAGCCCATATTTAGCACCTCATTAAGGTCCCTAATGGAGCCTATAAATACACCATGTCCCAATCTCACCTACATAGTTTTGTCTTGGCCAATTTTTCCTTTACATACACAAGGGAAAGAGCTTTGTTCGAGAGTTAGGGAGATTCGATTAAACGCTCCACCATGTTTAATCGAAGTAGGTGTTTAGGTAATCCGTTAGAAGGCTTTTAGGTACAATTTATTCGAGCCTTTATATTTATATTTTTCGGTCGTCATCATCACCTCATCGCCGCCCATCGCCGTCGTGATCCACCGCCAGAAAACACCCATCGCCGCCGGTCACCGCCCAAGCCCAGCCACGCGCAGCCGAACGCTACCAGGAACAGCCGCGCAAACCCGAGCCCAGTCCTCGACGCCCAGCGACACCTACCGTGTGCTCCCAGCGCCCAGCAACCGTCCGCGAGCTCCCAGCACCGCCTGCCTGCTCGCCGATCGCTCCAGCTGCCAGTCGTCCTGCCCGCGAGATCCCAGCGCCCGTCCGCGACGCGCCTGCTATTCATCGGACGCCCAGGAGAGCCGCAGCACACGCCCGCGTGATCCCAGACGCCAGTGCCTAGTCCGCGAAGGCCTAGGAGTCCCAGCGTACGTCCGCGACACGCACGCCAGCGTTCCCCCGCGCATCCCAGCAGTCATGCGCGTACGCCCAGTGCCCGACGCACCCCGCCAGCGATCCGCACGTCACGCTAACAGTCCGCGCACGCTGCCTGTGATCCGCGTACCCGCACGCTGTCCGCGTCTGACGCGCACGAGCTGTCCGCTGCACCCGACGACCGAGACCAAGCCACTGTATGATCAAAGCCTCGTTTGACGTGTCGATTAGAATCGACTAAAGGTCAAACCTATCCGCCCATTAGGTTGTGGTGTTCAGAAGAACTTCATCAACGGTACTCTACATCATCTCAGAGTCGGCAAAAAATTTTAAAAGGTCAACGTCCATATCCTAACTATAGATTCCGCTGCGTTAGGATTTATTACGATAAGTTCAATACTGTGCATGTTTGTTTGATGTTCCTAACAGAACCCAACACAGACAGCGTATCACAAATAGTCGAAGGATCGACCAGTAGACCAGTCTAGCAGTCGATTCGACCTCAATAGATCAACCACTGTATGGATTGTCAGTATTCTGGAGATCGACCTAGTCACAGGCGCGTGTAAGAGCCTCTAACGGAATTTCAGAGGAATAATTATCCCATTTGCAGAGGACACGTGGCGAGAATGCATTGGTTGATAGCGACAACCACCTCTGACATGCGCGCGGCATGTCAGAGTACGGACGGGCAGCTGGGGCAGCCAGCTCACCGAATCTAGGCAGCCTTTAGGTCAGGTATCTCACTCATATATAAGTGGGGGTGAGCATACACCGAGAACCCCCTGGTGTGAGAGTTGTTTGCAGGTTTCTGGCGATTCACCGACGAGGACGAGAGGTGATCTATTCCACACCGGCCATGACACTCACACTTGCATTATTGGCGCCGTCTGTGGGGACCTTTCGTTCAAAAACCAGTGTTCAGAGTTGTTAAGCTTGGTAGCTATGGCAGACGAAATTCCCAGAAAAAATTTACAGTCGTCATTTGATGAGGCTTGGACGACGACCAGGCCGTTGGGGCAGGGCCCTCCTCTGGGTTTCTTTGGCCCTTCCCAAACGTCGGCCACTCCCAGTCTGTTCTTCAAGGTGTGGTGGTTCTCGGAGGAGACGCGGGCTCCAGTCGTGCCTAGGAAGCTCGCACAGCAGTCACGGCGGGGATGCCACTGCAGCCCCAGCCAAATCCAGTAGGAGCATAACCAGGAGGATCGGCGGTGCAAGGAGGAGCACCACCGCAGATAGAGGTTCAGGTTCCTGCTCAGCAAATGGTGACGATGATGAGGGCGGAGATTCAAAGGATGATGGACAATGCGACGGCGCAAGCGGTGCAACAGGTTACTCACCAAACATCCCAGGCTACCACTGCGCCGACGATGGTGGTCGGTACTCAGGAGGAGGATGAGTCCAGTTATAGAGGTGAAGTAGATGTAATGGATCATACGATGGAGTGTATTGCATAGCAGTTGATCCAGTTGCAGGACAAGGTCGAGGGGAGGCAGGACAGAAGGGCGTGAGGACATCCCTTCTCGAGGGAGATTTTGACTGCATCGTTGCCGAACAATTTTTGGGAGACCAACTTGGTGTTTGACGGGTCATTTGACCCGTCGAGGCATGTGAGAACTTTTGAAAATATGGTGGTGTTGCATGGATATTCTAGTTCTGTATGTTGCAGGGCTTTCTTATTGACCTTGCGCGGAGGAGCATTCGATCGGTTTTATCAGTTGCCTCTAGTGTCGATCGTGGATTTTGAGGATTTTGCCAGCAAGGTCACCAATCAGTACTCGAGCGCAGTGGCTCAGGAGGAAACGTATTTAACCCTGATGGCGATGAAGCAAGGGTAGAAAGAATAATTGAGGAAGTATGTGGCTCGATATAATCAATCGTGTTTGGAGGTGCATTCAGCGTCTGATAAGGTGAAAGCGGAAGGACTGATAAGGAGTCTTTGAGCAGGGCCCTGTCGAACTTCGTTGGCAAAAACCCCTGCTCGATCGTATGAGCATGTGTTGAAGCAGTGTAAGAAGTATATCAATCTAGAGGAGATGGAGGCGGAGTTTGCCAAGCTGGAGGGAGTTGCTCGACCAGAGCTGAAGAAGGGAAAGAGCCCACCAAGAGGGAGGTCACCCAGAAGGGGTTCGCCCAGGCGGGGAGGACCGAAGGGAGTATCGCCCAGGGGATATGGGTGAGATTCGAAGAAAGCAAAGCGAGATGGTCGATGGCAAGGGAGGCCACTGCTATTCGAGAGGCAGAAGTACCACAATTTCACGCCCTTGAGGAAAGATATGGGGGAGGTGCTCGAGTCGATGGAGTAGAAAATGGAGAGTGAGGATGTGACGTGGCCGAAGACGAGGTTTACGGGTCCGAATCGTCCTAAGTCAGATTTTTATAGTCGATTTCACTGGGATATGGCCATACCACGGAGATTTGTAGGCATTTGAAGGATGAGATTGAGCGATTGATCCATGCGGGGCATTTGAAGGAGTTTGTCTATCATGATAGGGCAAAGGGGAAAGAAAAGATGAGGAGTCGAGAGGATTCAGAGGAGAGGAGCGATCGAGATGAGGAAGGGAATGATGACTCTAGAGGAGGAAGAGATGGTCGAGGGAAGAAGCAGAGGAGGGGAGGCGGAGATAAAGGAGGTCAAGGAGGTGAGGCACAATTGAAGAGGGGGACGATTTATATGATTTCAGGAGGACCGACAGATGGTGACTCAAATAATGCCAGGAATGAGCATGCTCGAGCAGTGAAGAGGAAGAGGGAGGAGGTCGGAATTACTGCTCGCATGCCGGAGATAAGTTTTAAGGTGGAGGATGCTGAGGGAGTAGTGTTGCCACATAACGATGTTTTGGTGATTACCGCGGAGGTGGCAGGTTTCGATGTGAAGAGAGTGTTCATTGATACTGGGAGTTCGATAGACGTGATGTTTTATGATTATTTTGTGCAGATTAACAAGGAGCTGAACATGGAGTTGAAGCTGGTGGCCACAGCTCTTTATGGTTTTAATGGGGGCGAAGTAATGCCGATGGGCGAGGTCAGTTTGCCAGTTGCGTTGGGATCAGGAGTGATGAGGAAAGTGCGGATGGTGAGATTCGTAGTTGTGGGGGCAGAATCATCTTAAAATATTATTATGGGGAGGACGAGCTTGAATGCATTCCAGGCAGTCGTGTCAGCGTACCACATGACGATCGAGTATCCGATGGGCGAAAATCTTGGCGATATCGCAGGGGATCAACTTACTTCGAGGAGATGTTACCACAAGATGGTGAGTAACAATAGGAAATTGACGGAAAGGCAGTCTAAGTCGAAAAGAGAAGAGATTAGTCGACCAGGTGGGTTGAGTCAAAGGGGGATAGGCAGAGTAGAGAAGGGTAAGGATAAGGTGGATATCCATCTCGGTGGGGAGGGCGAGAAAATCCAAATGATAGAAGGTTGCGAGGGGAGGAAGTTTAGAATCGGGAAAGAACTGGAGGAGCCAATCAGGTCGAGGTTGATTAGTTTGTTGAGGGAGTTTGCTGATATTTTTGCCTATACGGCGGAGGAGTTGACAGGGATAAGTGCAGAGATGATCGAGCACCGTCTGAACATCAACCTCAGTGTGAGGCCAGTGAAACAGAAGAGGAGGCACCATGGGGGTGGAGATGGATAGAATTATCTAGCAGGAGGTTGAGAAGTTGTTGGGAGCGGGGCATATCAAGGAGATTCAATTCCGAGAATGGCTATCAAATACGGTTATGGTGTCAAAGGCCGAGGGAAAATGGAGAATGTGCATTGATTTTCGGGATCTGAACAAAGCTTGCCCGAAAGATTTGTACCCGCTTCCTAGGATCGACTAGCTGGTCGATTCAACACCTGGATGCGAATTGTTGAGCCTGATGGATGCCTCCCAGGGGTATCATCAAATTCCATTGGCGAGAGAGGATAGGAAGAGGGTAAGCTTCGTAACGAGCCAGGGAACCTATTGTTACGTGGTGATGCCGTTCGGTTTGAAAAATGCGGGTGCCATGTATCAAAGGTTGGTGGACAAGATTTTCAGGGAGCAATTGAGGAGGAATATGAAGGTGTACGTGGATGATATGTTAGTGAAGAGCAAGGAGGATATTGATCATGAGCGAGACTTGAAGGAAAAGTTCTTAACATTGAGGAGGTATGGGATGAAGTTGAAAGCTAAATGTTCTTTTGGGGTGAAGTCAGGAAAATTTTTGGGATATTTGGTGACCTAGAGGGGTATCGAGGTGAATCCAGAGAAGGTGCGAGTAGTGATGGAAATGAAATCGCCGACGAGTGTTAAAGAGGTGCAGATCTTAGCTGGTCGAATTGTGGGGCTGAGTCGATTTATTTCAAAAGTCGGAGAGAAGATTATTCAAGACACTGAAGAAGAGTGCGAAGTTTCAATGGACGGATGAGGCTCAGCGTGCATTCGAGGAGTTACAAGGTGTGTTAGCCAACCTGACATTGTTGGCTAAGCCGATTCAAGGAGAAGATTTGGTGTTGTACATTTCTATTGGAGAGAGAGCTGTGAGCTCGGTGTTGTTGCGAGAAGAAGGAGTGGCACAATTTCCCATTTATTATGTGAGTCGAGTGATGCAGGGAGCCGAGATGAGATATTCGAGATTGAGAAGTGCGCCTTGGCGGTGATCGTAATTGATCCAAAGTTGAGGCCATATTTCTTGAATCACAAGATGAAGGTACAGACGAACATGCCTTTGAGGGAGACGCTTGGGCGACCCTCAGTGTCTGGCCAATTGGTAAAATG